ATGTGGGAGGAAAAACACAAATAAACTACAAGTTCATCTCTACAAGCCTGTTTCGTGGTTGCCCACTCATATATAATATATATATATATTTTAAATAAACCAGAATCGCTCAAAAATATAAGGATACAAGAAATGTAAATAATGTTCATTTGAAATATAATCATCATAAAATCAAAGTCGAGCTAAAATAAAGTAGACCACAGAAACGGCAAGTGACCAGACAATCAATAAACGAAAACACTGTTCCTTGATACTTAAGGAAAAGTCACAAAGTTTGAAAACTACTGCTTCAATTCCGTTTTTGTAAGAAAGAAACTGAAATCTGTGACCTCTTCCAGCCACGCGAAATACGGCTTATATTACTCTAAGGCACATAATTTTCGTTTCGTTTCTGAGCAAATTAAATTAGTCTACTGAATGCCCATGGCAATGACCTTAGATGAAACTCAGATTCAATTTTTTATCGTATTTATTGATATTCCTATGCTGGCCAGAGATTAAATTCGTTAGTTTAAATACGTACGGCATGATGTGGCTGATAAGTTGTAAGAAAGGAAAACAGGATTCTTGCCAGGTCTTTAATAACAAATGATCACTTGGTTTGGAATAGAAGTTTGCCAATTAACCCAGTTAACGAAAATTATCCCCTCAATGTACTCAACCGAGATCCACATGCGGAAAAACCCCAGTTATAAATATTAGTGATCTATAAATGAGTGATACATATTTTCTTCTGGCAGTGAAATCTGTAGTTATATCTATTGTGTATCCTTATTTATTCAGTTTCTTTGTTAATTTATGGGGGTACCCTTTGTATTAAATGCTTAGTCTCCTGTAGATGTCTTTATGGTTCTTTTTTGATTCATGACCAGTTGTGGAGAAAATAGGATAATAATCTTACCCACACATTTTTCCTTCCCCTGAAACTAGCAAAAACCCAAAGCAAAACGAAACAAAACAAAACAAGCACTTCTCTCTTTATTTATTTTTGTTTTTTCAGATACTACAATTTTATGGGGCTTGGTGATTATATCATGTACAGAAATACAGAGAGGAACTTTGAGGTAAGAAATATAATTTTTTTACGATGGTCAAGCTGCTCGCTTGTTCAATAATGCCATAAAATTAAATTTAGACTAAAAGTAATAAGAGATTATGAGAGTGCGTTCGACGCTCTCACTTTAATATATAAATATACCGTAAATAAATGATTTCACTAGCTGACTTTTAACCTTTTCCTATTGGTAAAATCAATTTTTTTTAGCAGCAACCGAGTTGTGACGACGCCGCCAGTTTCTGTAGACTCTCAAGTTTCATAGAATATTTACATTACGTACATTATTCTAAGCTAGCATTTGCAATTGCGTGCACGTTTCGCGTGGT